TTAAACAATTTGCATAGATTAAAAAAGAATCTATTGGTATACTTTAATGTATTACAATTTAATTCAACTGACTTTAGATTGTATTTTAAAATTTTAAAAAAAATAAAAAGTAAAACATAAATTTTTTTAGAAGGCCATGTACAGACAGAAAGTAAAAAAAAAAAAAAAAACTATTTCATTTCTACGTTGGCCCAACACAAGAATATAGTGTTGTGGCATTTACAGAAATGGTACAAAATATTTTATAAAAAAATATGTATATTTATTACTGCGGGGGTTTAATATTTTGTGATAATATTTTGAGAATTAATATATCTTACTTTAGCAGGAAGTCTTTTTTTTTTAAATAAAAAATAAAAAAAACTACTCCAGTACCGGATTCCACCTTTTTTTTACATTAAAAAATATTAGATTTCTTCAGTGAGAATCAAACCTCGAACACAGTTTTAATCATCTCATATCTTAAATTACCTAACCATCCAATGCAACGCTCTTACTTTTAGTGGACCCTGCTTAAACGTGGGTAAAATCACTCTCCCGGTTAGAAATACTTTGGTGACAATTAATCTTATATCTATTCTCATGAAACTTAACACCCTAAATACTAGACAGTACCCTATATTTTAATTTAATAATTTTTTTAATTGGATAATATAATCTGTAGTCTGTTTAGTAATTTGCAATAAATTAAAATGTACTAATATATATTTTTTTAATCTTTGCTAAATGTTTTTATTTTTTGTAAAAAATTAGTTTTAGTCAAAAAAATCTTATTCTTTAAATTGAAAAAGACGGATTAAAAGAATAATATCATTATTGTCTAGCCATATTATTAAAAAAATTAATATTTTTATGTAAATCAATCATGAGTTACAAAATGTATATCTATAAATTTGTACTATAGTGTTTAAAAATAAATTATTTATTTAAAAGATTATATAGTATATTTTTATGGTTATGAAAAATAGTAAAAAGGAATTAAAAAAGAAAAATTTAAATAAAAACTGAAAAGAGACTATTTTGTAATTTTTGTACATTTTTGGGGTTTTTTTATAAATTTTTAAAACTATTAGGGTATTTTTGTAATTAAAATAAATAAAATTCCGTTAATTTAGACGGAAAATAGCAAATTGGACAAAATCGGCTAACGGTTGGATAGTTTAGGGTAATATTGGCTAACCGAAAAAGAATATGGTAGAATTGACGACGCATGTAAAGCTTTGGATAGATTCGCCAATTTTTCCTTTTAAAACAAGACTATTTTTATGGGTTGGAGGGAGTATCATTTATTTTTTATTCAACAAGTTTTGCAAGGCCTATAGCTTGAGAGAGGGTAAGCGAATTGATAATTGCTAGTTCTTACTGGATTTCAAATTTTAGTTCAGAGATGAAGCAATTTAGAAGAGCAACATGTGGTAAACCAATAACACAATTGCTAACCTTTTCAAAATTTGATTGGTATTTAGTAACAAGACCTTTTGAGCGTAACGTGAACAATGTTGCTTGATGATTCTCATAGGAGGACGGACCAAATTGAGGTTGAACTGATCTGGTAAATGCATCCCAAGTTGTAAATTGCTTATTTGCGTGCATCCACTTATACTAACTGAGAGCTTTGCTATTGACCTCAAATGAAATTAATGAGATCCTCTGTTCTGGGATAATTTGGTAATATGAAAAGTATTGCTCTGCCTGAAAAAGTAAATTTAGGGGATTAGATCCATCAAATATTGGAAGATGAATTTTGGGAGGTTTGATAGGAAAAGGTTGTGTGGTTGATGTGGCTGGGGTTGAGGAATGTGAATGCCGGGGTTGGAAGATCCAATTTGATATTGGTTTGATGGGGTAGGTGGTATTGTGGTAGGCTTTTGATTCTGATCATATGAAGATCATGAACCAAAAGCAGTGAGAAATTGAAGATTTGCTTCTTGATTTCGGTTGATCAGGGCCTGTTGCTCTTCCATTTTTTTTTCCATGTTGGCTTTGAATTTAGCTTTGAATTCTGCCATTTGCTCTCTAATAGTAGCGACTATATCTTTCATGGATTGTTCTTTCCTGGAGTCATAATATCTCTCAAAGAAAGCACAAATGTAACGATTTTATTCGAATCGGATCAAACTTCAGAAATTTAAACGGAGACAGAGCCTTGACTAAAAACTAAAGTTTCATTAATCTTCTTCTTCTTCCAAAATACAGAATTGTAAAGATATAAATAAACTTCAATAGCTAGAAACTAGGGATAATTCACATCACTTGTCAATTACCCATGATAAACTACGTGACTAATCAGTAATTCACAAAGGACTACAGTAACATGACCCAGTTCAGTAAAAAATATTTGTGACTTTGAACGGGCATTACACATACTCTGTTTATACACAACTCTAAATTCTATCTCATTAATACTCATGTACTCCGTCTATTCCAAAATAAGTGTCGTTTTAGCAAAATAGAGAAATTTTAAAATAAGTGTCGTTTTCGGATTTCAATGCATTTTTTGTCAAAAATTTCCAAACATACCCTCAAAAGAAATAATATTATTGGTGAATATTTATTTTAATGGGGTTAGTTGAGGATATTCTAGTAATTTATCTTCCTTATTTAAGTGTTTCTTAAATTGTGTGCAAACTCTAGAATGACACTTATTTTGGAATGGAGGGAGTATTTCTCTACCTTCTCTTAGTTACAATTGGTACAAAGGGAAAAATAAAAGAGAGAAAGTTCTTTAAATTTGTATTATGAGTTTTTGTTATGAATTTCTAAATTAATTAATAACATTTTTAGAGATATTTTTATCTTTTCGGCCTGAACATTCTATTTGACGAATTTTATGGTATAGTAGAAAAAGTTTTTTTTTTTAATTATTATTTGTGAGGATATACAAATTTAATACATACCGATTTCTTTTTAAGGGATGAAATAAATTTTTTTTCAGCGCTATCCTGGAATGCAAAATTCTGATGTATTAAGGAAATTTTTAATTCGATATTTACAATATAAGAAAGTTTATGTTATCTCACGACTTCATTGTATCCAACTCAGACAATTGAAACGCTTCCAAATGACGTCCCAAAATTTGTATTATATTCATATGAACGTAATGTATCCTTCAATGTTCAAATTTATGTTCTTCAAAATTCAAAAGAATATTCTAAACTGAAAATTCTAAAATACATCATATTTTCTTAGTGAAGTGGCTAAAAAAAAAATTTAAAATAAAAGGAGTACAAAATAGACCCCAGCATTTCCGGGACGGACCCATATCTCAAAATTTCAAAATTTCCCCAAATTGGCTCCCAAATTCACAACCCGAGCATCATCCACAGAGCCAACTCAGCCACCGTCATCCGTCGACCCTTCCGACGAGGAGAAGAAGAAGCTGAACATAGTATTGAGACTGTTATGGCTTCCCAGTGGTATGATGGCAAAATTTCCATTGCTGGTTGTGACAAAAATGTGAGGGTTCTTTTTTGGTGTGTGATTGGATTCATGCATTTATTTTGCCTGCCTCTTTTGGATCATAAAATTTGAGCTTTCATATGTGTTTTTGCTGATTGCATATTGAGGTTATAATGAGCAATGATTTCTTATATTTTTAGGTTTTCTGTAGCATTACTGGTTTTTGCTTAATGTATTGAGCATTATGGCTCGTTCATTATCTGATGGAAACTGGACTCATGCTCTTGTATATGCTCAGAGTAAATGTGATTTTCTACCGGTTTTGAATCCTGGAGTCATGCCATATTCTTGGATGGAAGGGTACAAAAGATTAGTCTCCAATTGATCTAGATCGCTGCACTATTGTTCATCGATTTCATTGCAGATTCCTGTTACAATTATGGCAATGGGACGGTCATGTTCTGTCAACCTCTTGTTGCGTAGTAGTACTGTATGAACTTCAATGCAGTTCCAGGTTATTAGATTTTGATGATTGTGTTAACTGCAGGTCAAACACGATTACTGACAAGATACAGCTCCAATTCTCTTTTTAAAATTCCTGACATCACTTGTGTTAAGAATGAATATTTTCAATATGCATTTACGTTTTAGTTTTGCTTTGTGGTTATTGATGATCAATCTCTTTTTCAATCTGTTTAATGCTGCAGGCTTATGGAGGGTATCTAAGTGATTCAGTGACTGATGAAGAAAGGATGAATGTTATTCGCAATGCATGTCCTGGTGCTAGCGCTCGCTATTTTGTTTCTACTAGCTCTTCAACTCCTGCCGAAGACCCACCTCAAGTTGGATGAGTGTCGCCTTGCTGGAAAGTATCTCCTAGATTTGATTAAGATGGATCTTAAACCACGTGATATTATCACACCAAAATCGCTGCATAATGCAAAATCGTCATGGTTATTATACTTGGGGGATCAACAAAAGCTGTTTTACATTTAATTGCTATAGCAAGGTATACATACGTCAACCCTCATATCTTCCCAAAAATTGAAAGGAACTTATACGGGATACAGCAGGTCTATTGGCTTGGAATCAACTCTAGATTACATCCAAAAGGTTAATGACAACACACCAGTCGTTGCAGATCTGAAGCCAAGTGGAAAATATCTAATGCAGGATATAGACAAGGTATGTGAAGTTTTTCCGTGAACTTTTGTGGCTGTATGTTTTACACTTTGTGGGGTTACTATAACTCTTATAAATGAAGGGACATTAATTTGTAGATTGCATGCGTACCTGCAGTCATTCTTTTTGTGAATTAAGAACCGAAAAAAGGGAGTGCTTGAAGCTCTCCTTCCATTTAACTTGCTGCTTTGTGAATGCATTCTTATGTAAGACGCTTCTGCCATCAGTTTAAAGTCCTCATCTCTGCTAGAGGGTCAGGTAATTCCTGAAAGCTAGATTTATCTTGTTTTGTTGCAAATAGGCGTCTGTATTGCTTAAGGTGTTAGAGAAAAGAAGATGAAGATTTGCTCTTTTTCTGCAGCAAATTATTAGACCAACATCAGACCGTATTATTGAAAAAACGTCACATTAAGGTGTTAATGGGAAATCTTGCTCCAGAACGGGCTGTGGGTAAAATTACCGGAAAAGAAGCGCTATACTTTTCAGGTGATCTGCCTCTCAACCAATTTTCTGATTGTATAGAAATCATTTACTGCTTCTTAACTTATATGCCATGTTAAAAGTATGATATGTTCACGTCTACTCATTAGGTCCTGCTCTTGTATTGGAAAGAGAGGAATCTATGCTTCAGGCTATATCAGAAAATCATTTCAGTTTTAAGGTGAGGATTCCTATTGATCCACGATCCTTTCGGTTTCTTCTTGTTTCATCCATTATTGCACGAATGGGAATGTTAACAACTACTGTTCATGATCATCATCTCCCAGGAGAAAGTAGTAGTGATCAGAGGACAAGGCCCTAAAGGGGAACCAGGCATGCCTGAAATGCTTGGACCAACCAGTGCAATAATGGGGCAGGTCTTGGAAAGGTATGTGATTCTCCAGTTATGATTTTCAGTAAATTTGTTTTTCCCTACTTTTTGTGATCACATCCTAATGTGGTTATTTTTTGGAAGAAAACGCATTTTTATCTGCTGGTTTCGCGTGCTATGTTCTTTTTCATTGATTATTATTACTGTTATTGACCTCCCTCAGACCTGAATTTGTACTATGTGATGTAGACAATTGCAAATTGGCTTGAATATTGCAGGATGTTGCACTGGTCACTGATGGAAGATTTTCTGGAGGCTCACATGGATTTGTCATCGGACACATTGCCCCTGAAGCTCAGGTAGGTGTTGAGCAGATGATTAACTGTTGGGGAAAAAGAAATTTACAAGAGAAAACTTGCTTTAAAATGTTAATCTAAAAAAAAGAAAGTAGCTCCTTGTTGACGTCAATGGATGCATTTCAATTTTTCAGTTAGGTGGCCCAATTGCTCTGGTGGAAAATGGAGACATCATCACTATAGACGCCTGCGAGAATAGAATGGATGTTCAGCTAACAAACACCAAGTTGGAAGAGCGAAGAAAGAGATGGACTCCCCCTCCATATAAGGCAGATAGCGGAGTCCTTTCCAAGGTCTGTCAAAATCTCTTGCGTACATATAGTACACTGTTGAAGCAGTTTTCACTTTAAACTGATTTCATCAATAACAGATGAATATTTAACATGGATTTTGATTACCCTTTTTTCCCTGCTCATGACAGTACATCAGACTTGTGCAGTCAGCTTACCTGGGATGTATAACTGATTGGTAGACATGCACCTCAAAGATGCCTAGAATCAATCTGCAAATCCACAGGTTTACCACATTTTGAACTCGTTTTGGACTTCCATTAGAAGCACTGCTCAGTATTTTACCTCCGTAGCTTATCTACTTTTTAATTATACTGTATACTATCAGTATGCATTTTTCAATGTTTGGCGATATTAAACTGAAGAAACTTAGGCGACTTAGAGTTTTAAGAGTTAAACCTGTTACATCGGCATTCGGGTGGTGTGATCATAATGTCAAATTATGTTTAAACATGTCATGGAAATCAGATATACTGATTTAAGAACCTAAGCCAAGCAATTATTAACGGTTGGAAAATGTCTCCGATGTTTTTGCATGAAAATCGCAACAGAAGAATTCCCCAACAACATTAGATCAGGAAGAGTTTATATGACATTGTAGTTTGTCAACCAATGAACGAAGAAAGCACCAAAAAGTCATCAACAAGCACCGTAGAAGTTGGTTCAAGAAAATCATTTCATCAACATTTAGAACACACAAAGGTAATCAACAAATGAAGAAGACTTATTATAAGGCCCAATAATTTAATTATTAATTACTTAACTTGAACTTGGATATCGCGGCACCATTGTATACTTGACAACTAATATTTTCATACCTTCAATACAAGTTTCAATAACATTAAATTATAACGAAAACAGTCCCATATGCTATATGCTTGTTGTGAGTTCCGATCAGTAAAAAAAAAATTGAGGGAGGATGGCACAGTCAAACTTGAGTTTGCCCCACATCTGATCATGTGTCCTACAGCCCGAAATGATTGTTCTTTTTGTGGGAATGGATGGAAAAGTTTTCACTGAAATGATGAACATATATAAGATTAGATTTGTATTGTGCTTTGCTTTGGAATTTAAGCCGAATTATTTATCAATGAGGTTAAGGGGAAAAAAAGGAAGGAAGATTACAGAATCAGTTACCTTGACTCCATTAGAGATTATTAGATTACAGTATCTAGAGTACTAAATGCATGCCAATTGTGAGTTTTTGGCTCCCATTTTGTTCACTACTGTAGCAGCAACAATACTACTCAAATTTACATAGGACACTGAAGCGTATTGTGTGCCAAAAGATCCTAATCAGACAACTCAATTTCAAGTCAAGTGAATTGGTGACCCTTGGTTGCTGCTGCTGCTGCTATCCCGCACCCAGGAATCCTGAACTTGGGCTGCAAACTGCAAATTCCAGAGTACATCTTCAATAGAAGGGCGGTCTGATGGTACACTCGACAGACACTTTACACAAAGCTCCATCATGATCTTCAATGATGGATCCGAACATTCATTGTGGATTGCTGGATCGACACTGCTTCTCTGAGCAGGTTCTTCAGCATTCAAGTTTACTTTTAGCTACAACAGAAGTAACGAAACATTAATATAGAAGTTCTGCAATAAAGCACTACTTCAAACTGAAAAGTGGATAGATACTTATCTAAGTTCCAGGGCAAGAGTCAATGATAATGGCAACAGTTCTTAGGGAAAGTTGTCTGTCTTTACATGAAAAAATTCACTAACCAGCTGCAGATGGCTTTCTAAACTTCTAATTACATTACTTAGCTGCCCTAAATTTGCATTGGTTCTGATTAGTATTTTCACAATCTGGTTTTATCATATGGTGCAACTTTACGTACTTGGACATTGTTACAACTGTTTGCTCAATAAAAGCACTTCATTCCTCAAGATAATACTATAGTTTTGAATGGTAGAAGAGGTTTGCTCATGTTGGTGAATTATTATATGCTTATAGTGCTGGGAAGCGAGTTTTCCCATATCAATCTAAAGTACAGCTGTTAAGATTTCCAGTTCCCCCCCCCCCCCCCCCCCTTTTTTTTTCCTTTTGCCCTAATAACACAATTAAAATGACAGCAGCGTACAGCTGTTAAGATTTCCAGTTCCCAAACCCCCTTTTTTTTCCTTTTGCCCTAATAACACAATTAAAATGACAGCAGCGCAATTTTATCAGAGAAATCCATGAATTGTATCTTATCCAAATATGTTGGATGTCTCAGAAGGGATGGAATACTAAAAGGACACTTACAATGTCAAAGGAAACACTGACATCATCTACTGAATTTATCGCTCTTCCCACCATCATTTCAAGCAATATAACTCCAAAATCATGTATATCATCTTTCTCGTTTAATCTCAACCTGCAGTTCCAGAGCAGAAACAAAAATTGTAGAACTTGAAGCCAAGAAAAGATAAAAGAGAATCAATGGAAATATATAGTACATCTTTACTGAACAGAAAAGAGACACTTTTAAGTTTCTAATATGAAAACTTCTCTAAAAGAAAAACATTGTAGTAATTACTATCAAAAACTGTTGACGTAGTGCAGGCGCTAATGTTTTACTTGTAGTCTTTTGGCATCATTCTCTGACTATGGAGACAGGACTTAATATACTTGGCCTATGGGGAAACATGATTCTTAGTTTATTCACACAGAAGGTTTAGGTCAAATGCATACTGCACCGTGGGTTTAGATCAGTTAGATAGATATTACTTACGCAGAGCCATCTTTCTCCTTTGATCCAGTGAAAGAAATGGCACCATTATCCTACACAACAAAAGCCACATATTAGTCATCTAAAGCCTGTTAAGCTTGTGTCTCATAAATTGATTGACTATTAGCTCACAGTGTCATTCAAGGATTCATATGAACAGCCTCAAACAATATACATACATCTAAAAGGCAGAGGGTGTCTTTACATACCAGTTTCCGGGTTTCATCTAGCAAGGGCAGATTGTATTTACTAATCTTCACATGGTAATCATGATCCATTAAAATATCAGTTATTTTCAGCTGATTTGCATATATACCAGGCACTAGGCCTGTGTGAAGAAATTGGATGCCCCTACCAATCCCAATTGCAGCTGCCAACCTCTGTTTCCATGTTAACTTTTGGGCCACATTTCCCTCTGCAAATTTGGTGTGAACAACATCATTCGTTAAAGAGCACTGAGGCGAGATGCAAGGCATCGAATGAGAAGCAAAGGTTAGATTGTGAGGACTTGGCTGATTCTTATGACACGACAGTTCAGTTTCAATCTTCCATCCACCATCATACCAGAGAGTTCATCAAACGATTTATAAGTAATTATAAGAGAGGTACGAAGCATTCTTTACCTGATATTAAACTTCTAAGAGATCCATTAGCTACATGTTCAAATACAATAAGTATTTTATTGACACTTGAATCATCTTGGTAGCAGTCAAAGCAATGGCCGATAGCACTGACTAGATGGATATGCCGAAGTTTGGCGATCAGCTCAAGATGGTGAGTATAGGTATGAACGCTATGTTTCTTTTTCATTTTCACGCATCTTATAGCCACAAGAGTACCATCTGTGAGCCATCCTCTGTAAACCTGTTTCAGGCAAATGGAACACTGCTGTCAATGATGTTCCTTAAATAGAAACTCAATTCATTGCAATTTTGCATGATATTTCATATTAAAAACCCTCAATTTACATATATGTATACTACAGTACTTAACTTTATATCCCTGATAAGGTTGAGAAATCTTCTGTTGAAGTTATTCTGTCACATTTTATTGGAAAGATAAAAGAACAAATGCCATTTTTAAAAGTTCTCTTAGATATAAGAACTGCTCAAGTAGGATGAATTTCCCACATCACCAAATGCACCCATGAATCATGATTATTTAGTCGGAGCCAGCAAAGTTTCCCTAAATTCTCACAATGCATTTTGCATAGAATTATCTATGCTGAGAGAAGAATAAACAACATCTTTTATAGTAAACCAATACCGTATTGTTACCCTATCAAGAATTCAAGATAAAGTTTCTTGCTGGTATTAAAAAAAATAATAATAATAATTAAAAAAAAAACCTTCAATGATTAGTTAGCAGCAGAGAATCATACTTCAAACAAAAATGAGAGCTCTTAAGAAGGCGAGATTAGTGTCTTATGCAACTTTTTGCAAGAACAAAGCCGAATACCTGTCCATTAGAATTCTCAACAATAAGATTTGAGGTACTAAAATCATTGGTAGCCTCTCTAAGCTCATCCAGAACAAAAGTCCTATAAGGTGGAAGTCCAACAGGTCCCAACTTTCTAGTTTCAGATATATTACCTGGCAAGAAAAGAAGCTTATGAGTTAATTACAAAAATAAATTGACATTGACTATCCATACACTTGGCCAGCCAAGGAAGTTACTTCAACTAAAATCTACTCAATCTCATATAGAAATGGTTTGAAAAGCAGCATTCTTCATGTGATTGTTGATCTGTTTTATAACGTAGCAGTCGGCAAAGACAAATGAGCAACAGCAATTATATAGGAACTGGATGAGATTTTCATGGCTTGAGTGATGATGCAATGCAACTGTAGTTATCAGTTTTTGACTCCAATCATAAAATCATGCTCTCAACTTGATAACAGACAAGGATTTTAGCACTATTTTCGGATCCACGAAGAAAAATCTAAATTCGAATCTCCCGAAACAATCTTAGTAAAAGTTTGCAAAAATATACTTAATTGAGTTAACCAGGAAGGCAGGAAGAGGAAAAAGAATGTTGAACTTACTTGCGTCCTTGAGCACCTTAAGCGTAGAGGCAGGCGATACTTTCTCCATTATTAGTCTAGTGTGAGGCACTTTATCTGATTTCCTCTTTCTCCGTTCCCTTCTCACCACAAGAAAAACCAAACCTAGAAGAACCATTCCCCCAACAATCCCACCAACCATGCTAGATGCAAGAACTGCTCTGCTAGTCACTTTCTTCTGCTGCTTGTGAGGCAAGATTGGCACAGCCAGAGCCTCAATGTGACAGAATGAAGGAGGATGCTGATGTTGATACCTCTCTGAGGAGAAACAATTCCCAGAAAACAGAACGGTCCTATTGTTCTTAACATATTGCAAACAATGTGGCAAATCCCCTGTCAGACGGTTTTCGGACAAATTAACATAGCTGAGACCCGGACTACAAGGTGTGTCCTTGAACAGCTTTCCAGTGAATTTGTTGCCAGAAACATCCAAATAAGTCAGAGAAGGGAGTGAAAACAGTGATTGTGAAAAGGGAACCATAAACTGATTCATGGAAATGTCCAGCTTCTGAAGTTGGAAAAAGGAGCCCAATTCATGCAACTTAACAAACTTAAAATTGTTCTTCCTGAGCACCAAATTAACCAATCTAGTGGGTAGCCTTGGGAAATTAGGTCCTAATTTGTTGCCCTCTAAATCAACAACTTGAAGGTTTGACAAGTTGTTAAGGTGAGGAACAACCCCAGACAAAAGATTACCAGAAAGCACCAGAATTCTGAGGTTTGCAGAAAGTGATAAAGTTGTTGGTAATGAACCACTGAGTGAATTGTTCTTCATACTCAAAACACATAAAGCTGGCAGTGAAGAACCCAGCCAACTAGGAACCTGACCGGTGAACCTATTGTCATCCATTACAAGAGTTTGGAGGTTCTTCAAATAAGAAATCTCTCTGGGAATGGGCCCATCAAAGTAATTGGAGCTCACATTCACTATTTCCAGAGAAGTTAACTTTCCAATAAGTGCTGGCAGATTTCCCTTCAAGCCCAGAGAAACCAAGGAAAGAACTTTCAGGTTTGGCAAACTTAGCAAGTTGGAAAACAGGGCAACAGTGGAGAAATCCTCAGATAACTGTGGGAATGAAAATGAAGTATCTCCAGCAACATGCAACTGAGTTAGATTGTCTTCATAGCAAACCAGAGTTAGAGATGGATTAGGCTCACTGTTGCAGAAATCAGTGTTATCACTCCAGCTATCTAATTCTGCTGGGAAATTCAGCTGCTGCTTGATTCTCAAAAGGGCTTCATACTGAGATGGCTGCAATTGGGCTGAGTGATGAACCAGAGAGAGAACCATGAAAACAATGAGAAGAACAATGAATGCTCTTTCTGCCATTGAAAGTCTCACAGCAGAACTGGGAATTCTTGGCCTAATGTATGTATGTGTGTGTGTATATATATATATATATATATATATATATATATATAATATATCCAAATGGGTTACCAAAAAACTTCACATTCCAAAGTAATTCACAGGTCTCTGAAACAGTGTATGGATTCACAATTATTGGGATTCAAGTAACAATGATGAGTGTAGCAAAGATTAAGGATAATTCACTATCACTAAAATTTTTGTTAGAGAAAAAAGTTAAAAGAATCAGTGTTCAGTCCCTATCATATGATATACTTGCACAGTATATGTGCATAGAATGCGATTGGACATTGGGAATAGACAGAAGTAAAGTATAATTAAGAAAAACTTGCAACATAGTCCAAATTGCATGGGTTAATTACATAATTACTCCTCAATTTTGCAATGAATTTTTAATTTGCCACAGTCGATTCGAACTACATACTTTTGCTAGGAACTTGGTTCGTAGAACGAAGTTCTTAGAGTGAATTTCGTTACTGACGAAGCTTGAGAATGTTTGCTAGAAATTGTGTACCCGTATTGTGGTCTGATCAACCCTATTTATAAACATGAAGTTACCTTGAAGGATGTCGAATCCTACTAGGTTTCATGTTCTAGAGCCCCCTTTATCAGGTCGGCTGGACCATGGCTGGTTGATGGACCGGTCCAGTAATCCTTAGTGGATATGAACTCGTCAAGTGCCCATGTCAAGTATTAGTTGCACAAAATAAACAAGACTTGACACAAAATAAAACTGATCTCGACCCGGCCCAAGTGAGGCGGACCAGACACGGCCTGTATTGTACTGAGCAGGCCCAACAAAGCAGCTCGCGGGTCAGGATCCGACCCAAGGAGGCGACCGGCCCTAAGATCCCGCCTAAACCATCAAATCGTGCGGGATCAGCGGGCACGTTTCCCAAGCGACGGTGCCTCCATCATTACTGCTCCCTTGGAACTCGATACCGTCAAATCGTGGGCGACAACAGCACTAAATAAAACCTTTTAGGTTCTTTATTCCCTGTGTTTAATACAGTGAAGAGAACAATATCCCCCACTCTCAAAGCCCATCTTGTAAAAATCTGAGTTCGCCACTATGCCCCAGGTATTGCGGCCGGTAATATCAGCAAACCACCCTGTCACTCCTCCAGCCGACGCTCAGGGACCGCCGCCGCCGGTAACTATTGCAAATCTAGGAAGCTACAACTCAAAAGGGGAGTGGAAACCGTTGCCAAAAATACCACAAGTAAGTTCCCAGAGCTACGACTTCTCGATTCCATTTACTTCCTTATATTTTCCTGTGATTGAATAGATTGGTACAAATCTAGATTGAATCATGGCTAGGAACCCAGAATTGAAAACCGTAGATGATTTTGCCTTCACCATAAATTCCAATGAGAAGATTGGATTAGTGAGAACAAAATATAACCTGTCCCAGGATTTAAAAATGAGAGTTCCCCTAGGGACTGAGAGAGCCAATACTCCCCCAGAAGGCAAAATCACCATCTACGAACGTTTCATGTTTCTAGGGTTGAGATTCCTCCTTTTTCCCTTGTTCGAGGAGATTGTGCACTATTACAAAATCTCACTAGCTTGATTCACCCCTAACCTCATAACGTACGTCCTTGGTTTTATAAAGAAATGCCAACGAGCCGAGGTGAGACCCTATCTTATGTTGTGGAGGTACTTTTTTAGAGTGTCAACACCGTCGACAGCTTTTCAGGATTGGTATATGGTGAAGAGAAACCTTGTTTCATGCTCTCGAAAGATAGTAGAAGCCTATAGTGAGTCTCCGATTTGGAAACCCAATTTCTTGTATGTAAAGGCCCCTAAAAAGTACTGTGTGGCCTGGAATTATCGAGAAGCCGAAGGCCTCAAGGCGGTAAAAGACGAGTGGACGAAGGAGGATGAGGAAAAGATGAAAGAATTTTCCAGTGACTTAGAGAAGCTCGAGAGATATCCCAAGATACTAGGATATGGAGCGGTGCAGCAATTCGTTCCTGTCATGTCAATCGAGGGATTAGAAGCTGACGACATCCTCGGTGTCCCCTTCAGGGAAAGGGAAGGTACTAATCTCGTTATCATTTCTGTGTGTTTAGGTCATGTCATCGGGAAACGCTAGTTCTGGATTATATGGTGACTCCAACCCCTTTAATGTTGTAAACTCAGATGACGATACTTCCACAATGAAAACAGTGGCAGAGAAGATAAAGAGGAAGAAGAAGAAGAGGGCTGTAGCCAGGGAATTCGAGAAGGGGCCAACCGCGAAAAAGTCGAAAACTCACACTTCTCCTGACAAGGAGATTGAAGCAACAAAGTAGACCAAAGAGACTATTCCCCTACAACCGAAAAGGAGGTACCTTCAGACAAGGAGACTGGGCTAAGCACTCGACCCAGTTGCGTTGAGAAGGGAAAAAGACCTGCCGAGGGGAATGTAACCATCCTGCCCCTGGAGATACCAGCCGAGGCCTCTGCCATCGCAGTTTGCACTTTTGACAATCCTCCTACCATCGAGTGCCCTGGACTGGAAGAGTTCGCTGCAGCCTTACTGAGGCAGATGGATTAAAATTGGTAAACTTCTCAATCCATACCCATTCGTTGATTTCCATATTTTATCATTGAATGTATATCTGTTCTGTGTCTGGTTTCCACAGATGAGTGCAGTCATGACGAACCATGTCAAGAGATCCAGGGACCTAAGGCGAGAAATAGCAGAAGCCCAAGCTGAGAGAGATCAAGCGCTGACCGAGAAGCGGGTTCCCGAGGAAAGGAATCAGCAACTGCAAGCTAAGGAAGCAGAGCTCGCCTTGGTACAAACCCAGCTTGGGGAACTGAAGCAAAAGTTTCATGAGTACTGCGACCTGCACATCTCCAAGGAAGACCTTAATAAATGGTGCACTGCCTTCTGGTGGAGGATGCTATCATCAGGGGGGATCGCCGCTGCTGTGGAAGAGATTAACACCACCTCAATGGCTTGTGGGGGTCACGCGGTTGCCGTCGAGGGCTTAAAGAGATGAAGTCAAAAAAGCCTATCAAGGCGAAGTGGCTGAAGCAGTTTCTAAAGGAAAACCCAAAAAAGACCATGTATGAGGCCTTGGTCCGGGGTCTCTTCAAACTATCCACAAACCAGCTACCCCCTCTGGGAGCCCTTGTGTGAGGCTCTATCCAAGATGGGCTCGCCTGAGAGCATTGCCTCATTTCCCGGGGATGTAGCTCATGTTTTCTCTAGAGGTCCTGGTGAGGAATTGGCAATACCTGAAGTCTCCGACGAGGATTTTGGAATTGATCTCGAGGAAGATGAAGAGGAGACTGCTGAGGAGGATGACACAGGCAATTCAGGTGCAAAGGTCCAAGATCCCCCAACCGTGGGAGATACTAGAGGGGCCGAGGAAGGGAACCCTATTAGTGAGGGATCATCTGAAGACCAACCAAGGAACGACTCTCGTTCCCAGACTGCTGTATGAATTTAATTCCCCTTTAATAGAATTCTTCCTTATTTTGAGAAGTTATTGTATTGCCCTTCATTGTGGTAAATGTGAACATTTTAAGTATCTGTTGGCATTTACATGATATCCAATCCCTCTTAACTTTATCCCATGTCTTATGCTAGGAATTGTACTTTGTACACTAGGTACATCTGATGATCTTGGACGAAAATCAAGCTAAAAATTTTCCGACGTACACTATGGCTTGTGCAGCGATGAGGAAGTTGGGCCATGTTCACAGTGTTTCTGTTGTAAGAACCCTCGAGGAAGAGATTGTGGATGCCATGCAAGCATACAATGTACAGATACACTCCCGGCTGGTACGACGGTTCAAGCAAAAGGAAGAAGAATATCAACGCCGCCTTTGCCAGTATGACCTCGATTATCAGGATTCCCTGATCCTGGAGGCAAATATAAATGAAGAAATGGCGAACTTAAAGAAGGAGAACGCCCAATTGAAGCGCCGTGAAAGAATCACAATTTCCCCATGGTTTCTCGAGAAGTTCCACATCATTTCCTTTGTTGAGAAGCAAATTCAAATCAGGACAGAGCGCTTCATGGCCGCCATCGAGATGCTGAAGAAAAGGACTAAAGAGGCTGAATTTTATTCGAGACAATCTGCTGTCCTACAGAACATACTGGTTGATCGTGAGATTCCGCTTCCCATTCTCGAGGGTCTACATGAACACAAGGTAGCTCGTTAAAGGACGGCCGCCGAAGAATTCCTCCTTAGGCTCGACAAGCAAGATTGGGAAATTGTCGATTTGAAAGACAAAATTGAATCAGTTTATCGACCTTCTTAGGATGCGAGGCTTCTCAGGCGTGATTAAGCCGTCTCAATTTAACCCCAAGGAGGAAGATCTTAATATTTAAGGGTAAACAAATGTATTTATCCCTACTCCGTACAAGATGTGAGGGCAATGTATTTGATTCGAGCTTTATCAACGTCGTTTTTTTTGTACTCTAGTAGTATTTATATAGCGCTTTCACGGCCAGATGTAAAGTACACGGCACCCTGGGGGAACTGGGTACGAGTTCGCGATCTACGGCGTGTACGAGAGGACTTCCTCAGTTTTTGTCCGGATGTTGAATACACGGCTCTGAACGAGGATGGCCCTAAAGAGGGAGTCCATCTCGAAGACTAGTCTCATTTATTTGTCGATAATATGAGAAAATATGTAATGACATTTATTGAATACCATCTCGAAGACTAGTCTCATTTATTTGTCGATAATATGAGAAAATATGTAATGACATTTATTGAATAATTACCCGAGGACTCGGGCTAGCATTACATACGAGAAAGTAAAAACAGTAGATCACGTAAGGCAAATAAAGCAAATAACCTAAACTAGCAGATAGCAGATAAAGACTTAAACGTAGAACCTGCGAAGGTTCTGAATGTTTCACCATCGATGAAGGATGGTTTCGCTATCATCCATGGCTTGTAAGTGGTAGCTGCCTACCGGAGAGGCCTGAATGGCCTTGTAAGGTCCTTCCCAATTTGCTGTGAGTTTTCCGGGACTCTCCGGTCGACTGGCTTTGTTTTTCCTTAACACAAGGTCCCCCACCGCGAAATCTGTTGCCCTGACCTGCTTGTTGTAGTGTTTTCGGAGGATCTCCTTGTATTTCACCTCTCTAATCCTGACGGCATCTCGTCGCTCCTCGAGGAGGTCAAGATTTAGCCTGATATCGTCATCATTGGTGCTCTCGACGAAGTTAATTGTACGAGGACTTGCTAGGCCTATTTCGACTGGGAGAACCGCATCCGTGCCATAGACCAAGCTGTAGCGAGTTTCATCTGTCGAGGAGTGGGCG